AAAAAATCCATTCTGATCAAAGTGATTTCTTGAAAAGCGCACAGTGCTGCTGCCTGTTTGCTTCTGCTGTTGTTGCTGCAGCAGCTGCTGCGGTGATGATTCTTTTTCAGCATTTTCATCTATTGTCCTGTCTTTTTGAGTAGTTGTGCAAACAAGCCATTCAACTTTTCACACAGTCTGCGCCAGTTTTCTTCTTGTTTAGTTTGGTTTTTTATTTTTTATTTTTCTATTTTTCCTGTTTTCAATGCCTTCAGTTTACCAGTCAGCCACTTTTTTCTTTTTTGTTTGTTTTTTTCTGTTTCACACTACATACCATGACTAATTTGACTGATTTTTTATTTGAGAAAGCGATTTCCTTTCTGCTCTGCCTACCGCAAACCTATTTCCGCTTTCCCCATATCCGTTGTCCAGTTTGATTTTGCTTTTTGCTTTTTTTCACTTTTTTTGTTTTCTCAATTTTTCCTGTTACAAATTTTTTAACCGTTTCTCAATTTTTATTCAGCACAAGCACCTAACACCACCAACAGCACAACATCACCCCCACGACCAGCAATCAGTTCTGGACATCCTAAGTGAAACATTTGTAGTAGTACTAATGAGCACTACTACTACTGCCACTGTTTACTAGTGATCAGTGTTTGTGATCAACACACAGCAAGCAGGCAGGAGCACATTCATTCATTCATTGATTCATTCACTGGTGATTACTACTTTGCTCCCAGCAAAACCAACAACACAGTAGTACAACACCAATCGCTCCGCTTATCACCTCTCCTCACACTGTCACCGCCACACTCGTCTCTGTCCATCCCACTTAGCACATTCACCGACTGACCAACTCTACACACACACACACACACTAACTACATGTGACAGACCTTCAACAGTGTCTCTGACCCTACGCCGCTGTTTCAGCTGTCTTCACGTGATTCCCTTTTCTCCTCCTTCTCTTCATTCACTTTCCCTTTCTCTTTTTGTTGTTTTTGTTGTTGTTGTCATAATTGTGCAATCGATTATTTTGCCAATTTTTGCATCAGTCTACTGCCGTTGACATTGACAGTGATTGCCTTTTCGTCTTAATACTTTTGTTGCTCTTGACATTGCATTATCTACGCTAATCGTGAAAAAAGTCTCCTTGTGCCATATCGACTATTTTTTGCCGTTTTTTCTCTATTTTCTCTACAATCTTACTCGACATTTGACCGCCCAATTTTTCGGCCACTAGGCACAACTTGGTTGCAGCAGAAAAAAATGAGCCATAGCTGAAACGGTAAGTAGATAAAAATGTAGTGCTTTTTAAAACGTGAGCCTTTTTTAATTAAATGCAAATTTTATTTTTTGTTTGTTAACAAACAAACAAAATTTTCAAAAAATCACAGGTGTTAAAACAATTGGGAAAAACTTACAAACAAATTCAATAGCTTAGTTTGGGCAGTGCTTTGCAAAATAAATTAATTTATCGCACAGCATGAAGAGGCAGCAGTTGTTTAGTTTAGCAATAGTTTAGCAAACAGCCAAACTAACTCGTGCCTACTAATACCTGTTACATTAACTTTGCTTTTTCAGCTCACAACCGGACTGAACCTTGCCCCCTTCCCTCCTCGACCAGATTGCCGCCCCCTTTGCCCCAGACCCAATTGACCGACCGATCGACCGACGTTAACTCCGGCTCACTCGACACTGTTACTTCTATCCTTTTTGAGCATTTTGCCCTGGTTTTATTATCTTCTCTTATTATCCGCACACTCTCCACAACTTCTTCACTACTCCTACGCACTCTTCTTGCAAACAACACGCTGATAAAGAATAATCCGTTTGCGTGTGTGTGTGTGCTCTAGAAACAAACACAGTCGGCAGAAAAAATATTACTCTGACATCTACCTACAACTGCTTGAAGCGACCTGCAGCGAAAGAGGAAAACAGACCAAACAGCTTAGCATGATGAGCAGCAGTGCCACAACTGTTTCGACTAGCACGGAAGCCACCAAAAACATCGCCGCCCAGCAACAGCAACAGCAGCAGCACCCGCCGGCTATGAACATCAAAAGCGAGTTTGATTTTGCCGCCAGTGTGGTTGGCAAGGTTGACCTGGCAAGCAGTGACGGCGGTGGCAACCAATTGGCCGAGCCGTCAGTTCAGGCCACCGGCGATGAGAGCACCGCCGCCGCCATCAGCGTCAACTACCTGAGCATTCTGGAGCAGCTGAAGCACGAGGAGGAGTCAGAGCTGGCGCTGCTCAAACGCGAGGGCTTTGACCTGTCCACGCTGGAGAAGTTCGACTCGGTGGACCTGATCAACTCGGAGGTGCTCATGGACGCCGATGATGATGTCGGCGGCGTCGGCGGCGCTGGTGCTCTACTGATCAATGGCTCCGGGGGTGGTGGCAGTGCCGATGCTGCCGATGGCCTCATCAGTGGCTCTGATCTGCTGCTGGCGCCCATGCCCACACTGAAGAGCAACGGTGGCCAGCTGGCAGGCAATGCAAACAACGGTGGTCGATCGGTGGCATTAGGCGGCGGCGGCAACGGCGGCGGCCACAAGTCCTCCTCCTCCTCCTCGAGCCTCTTTGACTGCAGCCTGCGACGATTCGACGACCTGTCGTCGCTGGACAACCTCTTCAGCGACGACAGCGACGAGGAGGAAGACCACAGCGACGATGAGGGCGACATGGACACCCAGGAGGGAGGCGGGGGAAGAGGAGAACACATGACGTACCTCTTTCGCAGCAACACCGGCAACTCCTCGAACTCCTCCTCGCTGGGGCCCAACTCCTCGTCCGGGGGACCGATAGTGACGAATGACGTCATGGTGACCAGTGGCGCTATTCTTCCCGGCACGCCCTCCTCACTGGGCGGCGGCGGCGGAGGAGGAGACAGCATGCTGGGCGCCACTCTGGGCGGGGGGCACTCTCTGCTGCTGCAGTCGGGCGCTGGCAAGTCCGGCAGTGACTCGGGCACCCTGGCGGCCACTCACAGCGGCGGCGACACCTCTGCTGAGGAGCTCATCTTTGGCGAGTCGATCTTCACATTTCCAGGTAGGTGGCGCATTTTATTTGAACGACATTTTGTTTGAACATTTTTTTTGAGTGAAAGTTTTGATTGGGGTGCATAGCAGTTCAACCCATTGTGCCATTGTGTGCTTACCAGCATTGTGTGCGCCCTAGATACACATGTTTAGTGCCCACTGCATAAATTGCGACAGTATTGACATTCATCAGGGGGCGCATTGTGTGAAATGCGTGCAATGTCAACAGCGGCTAATTGTCATTAGGCGGTATCGGCAAGCATCGGCGGCCTTCACTTCAGCCTACCTTAGCTAGTCACCTTAACCTGAAATAATAAAACAAAAAAAGTCAAAGTGTGAGAAAAATTGCAAGTACATTATGATTTGAGAAAGAGCAGTTTAATCTTTTGAAAACAAAACATAATTGATTTCCGACATAGTGCCCGTTGCCATTTGCAGAAAGCACACACACACACACTGTGTCATCCGTCTGTCCATCACCACCACCACCACCATCAACCTGCTTTGCTTTCTCTGCCTAGCGCCCAAAGTTGCCACAACTTTCTGCATTAATTAGCAGTGGCGTGAAACAACAGCGCACATTTCATTACCGGCGCTTTTGTAGCAATTGTGGTGGCACCTAAAGAGGCAACACATGCTCTCACTTAAGCACATGGCGGCCGTCACCGCTGCCGCACGAAAAAAATCATTGGCAAAATGACGGCAAAAATGGCAAATTTAGTGTGCATGTGCATGTGTCTAGTGTGCTTGAACAGTAGTTCAGTCACTGCAATACGCACACTAGTACACTCTGCTCATTCAAACGAGGTTACCTTTTAAGGCTGATTAGTATTAATAAGCAGAGAACAAAACACACACCACAAAAAGTACACAGTAGGAGCACCTACCTACCTACCTACCTCGACACTGCTCCCGTTGGCTCATGATCTGCCCGCTCACTCACTCTCTCATTCACCCACTTATCAGCGACCGCCTATCTGCATCTGCATCTCATTTCACCCTGTTTTGCCTTGTTGTTCTGCCCCTTACCACCGCACCTTATCACCCTACCCTATCAACCCTGTCCATCTAAAAGCTGATAATTCTGAATCTAAAAAGGGAGATAGAGAAAATGAAGTGAAGAAAAAGAAAGTGAAGAAAAAAGTATGGTCATTACAAAAGACAGGACTAGACAGGGCAGTACAAACAGACAGACAGAACTGCAGAGATAAGGAGCAATCAGAATGCCACTTTTTTGGTTGGAAAACACACACTCAAATTTATGCTTGTTCTTGTGAATTTGAGATGATTTATTATTAATAGTTGCGTTTTTTGGCTACGAAAAGTTAAAAGCATAGTGGCAAGGTGCAGNTATGCTTGTTCTTGTGAATTTGAGATGATTTATTATTAATAGTTGCGTTTTTTGGCTACGAAAAGTTAAAAGCATAGTGGCAAGGTGCAGGTGCAATACTAACAATGTGTTAGTATTGCCGGTAGTGGAAAACAGCAGATTGGCAACAGTGTGTCAAACAGTCTGTCTGTTTGATGGACAGACAGAGTGAGTTTGAGGATATCTCTTCCGGAAGGCTGCCAAATTTCTATTGACCACCTGTAGTACTCGGCCAGATTGACAGTAGTTCTTCTGGTAAAAAGTGTAGTCACATTTGTGCCAACTGGCAGCCAAAACCTAAAACCAGACGGCCGGCCGGCATTTTCCGGCAAAGGCATTTGTCCTGCAAACTTGATTTCTTAAGCACTTCAGCACTTTCTAAAGCCAATCGCTGTGTTTGTCAAGCCCATCTTTGATTGCTCACCAAATGCTTCACCAGGGGAATTAGTGAATATTTTATGCAAAGGCCCCTTCTGCCGACCCTCTAGTGAATAGTAGTAATCTCGGTGTGTGCATTTGTGTGTTTGTCTGTCTGTGTGCAGCGTCTGCAGAATTCGACATTTTTTTGCATCTTCAATCTTCAAGCCTGAGGACAAACAAAAAAAAGGAGAAAGTTAATAAGAGAAAGAGGGAGAAAAGGAGAGAGAGAAAATGAAGAGCAAAGTGATGCTAAGATGCTAAGGGGGAAGTAGTGCTTGACGAGTGGAGTGCACTGTGCTGTGCAGTGCTATGGCGGACACTCACTCACACACTTTTAGTTTCTTCAGGGCAAGGTGAGCAAACAGGTAACTTTTTTGCAGGCACAGACAGGTACAGACAGTGCTTGTTGCGGACAGTTCACGGGCAAAAGCGATTTGCAGACTGACAAGATGAGGGGTGAGGGGCAGCAGTGATGGTGGTGGTGATGATGATGATGATGATCAGCCCTGAACTGAACTGAACTGAGCGTCTACTGGCCCAGCTTGATGCTTATCAGTGCCTGTATGCAGTAGTGCAGTAGTGCCACAGTAGTACACTGTCGTCGTCTATGCCAAGTGGCTGCTGTCATCTTCACTTATGCAGGAGCCGGCGTTGTTTTTCACCTGAAAACACACACTCACACTGTCTGCCGTCTCCACTTTTTTCTTTGCCAATCTGCTTTCTCCTGCACCTGCTCTACTGCTGGTGCTGGTGCCATGTGCTTGCGGTGCTTATCACACACACACACACACACACACACACACACACACAAGCAGACAGTGTTTGCCGGGTTCAACGCCAGTGTACAACGGTTGCCTTCAATAGCTAATTAGAAACAGGCGGCCAAACAAGGGCGGCCATTAGTGTTTGCTTGCTGCAGCAATTACTGTTGGTTGGCCTCTCTGCAGACCTCTCTGCTGGTTTCCATTTTATTGCTCAACTGGTCAACAGAGAAAAAGATTGTTTATCAGCTTGCCTCTATCAGCAAACTGTAGTTTATTAACCTAACAGTTAACAACAGATTTCACCTGACAAGAGGGTCATCATTATCGTTTAGTACTTTTAGTTTTTGAAAAGCAAAATGGTAAAACAAACGAATTTTTTTATTGTGTCAAGTTTAATGCTCACTCTTAAATAAACATGTGAGATTGGCTATTCTTAATTATTCAATGTCGGTTTCATTCAAATACCCACAGTGTTTATCTGCAAATTACCAGAATAAATTTAGCTTGGATTTTACACAGTTTGATTAATGATGTGTTCCGTTACCTGTTGAAATGCACTGTTGCATCAGTTAGTTCTTAAATACAACTGTGGGTTTTATCTTTCAAATGATATGTTAGTTTTATTATTCGTAATTTTATCAGTTTTCAAAATACATTTACTTGTCAAAACAAAACATTTAAAAAATTTTTTTATTGATAGTAACAATAAAATAAAATATTGAAAGTTTATAAAACAGTTTGAATTTGTTTGAGACAAATTTGATTACTAAATCTATGCGTTGCTAGTAAATAGTTTTTATAAAATAAATCGTCAGGCGCCTGTCACAACGTTGATCTCGTTTGCCACCGCTGTTGTGACTTACTGACTGACTTACTTGTTAATTTACTGTTTGATTTACTTGACTAGTTCAAGGAAAAAAACTCATCAGTTGACAGAACACACAAGTGACATTTTCACCCAAATCTAGCTATTTGTGCTGCATTAATAATGTTTTTCCGCTGTTGTGTTTGAGAAATTTTTTTTACTTTTTTTGCATCAGCAAAAACCAGTCATTTTGTTGTTTTTTCTTTGCATCGCTTTTCAAGTGCTAATCAGTTTTCAAATTTTGGTATCTGCACTACGCGTAGCCTGCATCACCACACTACTGTTCTACTCTGCCGTGCAACACCTGTCTAATCAACGGGGCAATCAGCTTGCGACAATCTTCTTTCTCTCTCTCTCTCTTTCTCATTCACTTACTCCTTCTTTTTTTGCCACACTTTTCAATGCACATATCTTACTACCTGTCTCCCACTCTCTCCCACTCTTACCAAGCAAGTCCCTTGCTTTGTTTTGCCTTTCTCCCCTCAACTACCTCCATTTAGCCGACCGTGTGCAAAGTGATAAGCAGCAACATCAGCAGCTTCCACTGCGGTGTGTCTAACGACTGAGTGAGACAGTGGCAACTGCAACTGCATCAGCAGCAGCAACAGCAACAACAATCAGCCTGTTCTGTCAAGAGTTGAGAGCGAGAGATGATGCAGCAGCATTTGAGATTAACGTGCCGATGGTGTGCTCTCCGATGGTGGTGGTGGCAGCAGTCACTACTCTCTCTCTCTCTCTCTCTCTCTCTCTCTCCTGAGTACTCACCGGTGCTCAGGTACAACCGCTGCCGTACAATGGCTACAGGCGCGCGCGTACAGACACAGACTTGGAGCCTCTCAAGGAAATGGAGGCAGGAAACAGGTAGGCACTGACTGAGTCTGATTCAGTGAAGGCACCCAATCAGCACATGGTCTGCAACTTACCTGCATTTACCTGCAGTGGCACCAGTGTGATTCCGTGTCTGTACGGCTGTGCCTCACGCAATTTCCAAATGAAAACAAGCTGAGAAAGGGGCATAGCAGAAGGTAGGCAAGAAGGGGAGAAGGCATACTCTAAAGCTCATTCATTGTCTGCAAAGATGTACAAGCTGCTGCTGTCGCTGCTTTTAGATGAGCTACTGATAATTGATGCTCTCTCTCTCTCTCTCTCTTTCTCTTTCTCTCTCTCTTTCTCTCTCTCTCTCTCTCTCTCTCTCTCTCTTCCTATCACATGGCTAGTCACCATGTGCTCTTTCCTACTTCAACTACTACTACTACTACTACTACTTTAATTACTAACACAGTTGCAGTGAGCAAGGTGTGCATCACACACACACACACAGCGCAACCAATAATATGTGCACAACTGAAAAATGCATTTCTTTGTGCCGTTTTTAATTAAAGTCAAATATGTAGGTTAGGCCACACATGCTAAGAAGCAACATTCAATGGAGCGTTACTAGGAAGAAACAGCATTTGCTTCTTTTCACTCTTGGTATTAGCCAGCTCAGCTCTCTTCCGAGAGGTCATATTTGTTTTTGATTCCCTTTCCTTTCATCTATTCTGTTAGCTAATATTTGAGTTTCATAAAAAAGCTGATTTGCCAATTAGCTA